GGCTACAGAGGAAGACCCTGTCTTTAATAAATAACAAAGAAGTACAGTATATACATACATTAAAATGTTGTAATAGAGGACTGGTAATGTCGCTTAGTGGTAGAGTGTTTGCCTTGCATACATGAAGCCCTGGGCTCCATTCCTCAGTACCACATAAACAGAAAAAGCTGGAAGTGGCGCTGTGGCTCAAGTGGTTGAGTGCTAGCCTTGAGCAAAAGAAGCTCAGGGACAGTGCCCAGGCCCTGAGTTCAAGCCTCAGGACTGGCCAAAAAAAAAAAAAAAAGTTATTATAAACATCTCTGTACATCAACTTAATAAAAGACTTAAAAAGAAAAAAATGTCATAATAAAACTCATTTTATAATTAGCATATTTATGAAGCATTTAAAGGTTTATACAAGGATGAGTTAAACAGTCCATGGTACTGTACTGGCTCCTGTCTGGCAGAGGAGACAGATATTACACAGAATTTCAGCCCCCACAGGCTGTCTAGGGTACTCTTAAGTCAAGGTTAGTGAATACTTAGAGCAGAGAATGGGTCTAGGAAATGGCTGAGATTGACCTGTATCTTGAAGAATGTGTAGGATGCCAACGGGCAGAGATAGTGGACAAGACATTCCTAGCAGGTGACATGGCCCACAAAGAGGCATGGACAAGCCAGATGCTAAGCTATTGGATCCAGTGAAGAGGCAACTGAGGCTCAGGAGTGTAGCTAGTGATAAAGCATGTTCTAACCAGCTCAAGGCCTTGGGTTCCATTTCTAGCATCCAAAAAAAAAAAAAAAAAGTATCAAGAAAGCTAGAATGTGACGGTCTACAGCTAGCATCTTCACCGTGCTGCCCACATTCTCAGAGAAGAAACTAATGCAAGTTATCATCTTTTGTAGCCCGCTCTCAGAAGACTTCAGGTATTGGGCGTCTTATGGTGCATGTTGTTGAAGCTACAGAATTAAAGGCCTGTAAACCAAATGGTAAGTGCTTCTTTCTTTCAGTGATATGGCATTGCCCTGTTCTTTACTGGGTAACCCTTTAGAACACTGAAGGATAGAATGCTATTTGTTCAGGTATTTAAGTATTTGTTTCTTATGGATTTGTTTGTTTATGGCAGTACTGGCCTCCAGCCCTAGAACATTTTTTTAAAAACAGTATTTCTACTCCCGTTAAGATGGTTATATATACAGCAGAAGCTCATACCTGTAGTCCTAGCTACTCAAGAGTCTGAAATCTGCCAGCCCAGGCAGACAAATCCAAGAGATTCATGTTTCTAGTTGACCAGTAAAAAGCTAGAAAAGGAGGTACAGCTCAAGTGGTAAAGCACCAGCTTTGATTGAAAAAGCTAGGCAAGTTTAAGCCCTAGTACCAAGCACAAAAACAAATAAAAATGATGATAGATTCTTTATTGGACCTGCTTGAGTGCTTCTGCATAGGCAAACGAAGTGCATTGCAAGGCACTTGCAGCTCGTGTGAGCAGCTCTAACATTAGAGCTTGCAATCACTCCCAGGTGTACGATGCCAGCAGTATTGGGAACACAAGTCATGTGGCTAGACCACAAGGCAGGTATGGTTCTCCAGGCAGTGGCTCCTGCTGCTGTGGTGAAGAGAAGCAACCTCACAATTCCTGCTTCAGCTTGACTATGGCCTAGGTAGTCACTCCCCTTGCCATGTTACATTTGTTTATGGCTTGTTTCTGTGTAGGAAAGAGCAATCCCTACTGTGAAATCAGCATGGGCTCCCAGAGCTACACCACCAGAACCCTCCAGGACACATTGAATCCCAAGTGGAATTTTAACTGCCAGTTCTTCATTAAGGATCTTTACCAAGATGTGCTATGTCTCACTATGTTTGACAGAGACCAGTTTTCTCCAGATGGTAAGTATCACTTGGATAGGAGGGCTCAGGGTGTTTGCAATTTTCTGGAATCTAGAGTGTGGATCCAGAGTGCTCGGCTGTGTATAAATACCTCCTGCTACCTACGGGAAACAACACAGGCCTATGCCAGCAAATGGGTGTCCTTCCTTGGGGGTACAGGACACCTTTGACTCCAGTGATACCTGCATACATAAGTAAACACTGGTTATACTGGATGCCTGCAACATTCTCTGACTAGAGAGACTTGAATTTCAAATAGGCAGCTGCTTTCAGACATTCTTGTCATTGTATCTGTATCCACTGACAGTATCAGACATCTATATGACAAAAGTTACTTGCTTTGTGTTTGAAAGTTTTATGAGTCCTGTTTGTGGCGATTTTTAGATAGTTTTATAAAGAACAAAGACTTTTTAGTACTGGTGGCTCACACCTATAATCCTAGCTACTCAGGAGGCTGAGATCTGAGGATCTCAGTTCTGAAGCCAATGGAGCTGGAAAGTCTATGAGACTCTTATCTCCAGTTAACTACCAAAAAGGCCAGACATGGAGCTGTGGCTCAAGTGTAGAGTTACTAGCCTTGACCAAAAAAAGCTCAGGGACAGTGCCCATGCCCTAAGTTCAAGCCTCGTAACTGGTACATACACACACACAGACACACACACAGACACACACACAGAGATAAAGACTTTCAACCCCAACATGATCTATTCACAGATTTCCTTGGTCGTACTGAAGTTCCAGTGGCAAAAATCCGAACAGAACAGGAAAGCAAAGGCCCTACAACCCGCCGACTGCTGCTGCATGAGGTCCCCACAGGAGAGGTCTGGGTCCGCTTTGACCTGCAGCTATTTGAACAGAAAACTCTCCTGTAGGAAACTGGGGAGGACAGCACCAGGGGACCTGCCCACAAGACAGGGTCTGGACAGTTAGCCTCCTGGGGCTGAGGAGCATCACGCAGCTTCATCCATCACAAAGCCACATGCTGGGGCCTGCATTTCACTGCATACTAAATCGCTAAGCAATCTATGCAAACATTATCTTTCCTATGAATGAACCCACAGCACAGTGCCTTGTACTAGTGTTAACATGCTCAACTGTGTTAGATGCCAGCATTTCCATTTTCAGGGCTCTAAAAGTATTATGTGGAAATGAGGCATCAGACCACCAGATGTTACCACTTGGTGAATGTGTCCCCTGTGGAATGGTTTGGTATTGCCAAACTTTTCCATACCATGTGACCTCTCTTAGGTCACAGTACTCAGGAGGTGAAGGTTTGGGATGAAATGCTGCAGCGTGGCTGCAAAGCCTGATACTGAAATAACGTCTACTTGTGCACTGAATAAGACAGAAACTTGATCATTTTATTTCTGATTAGATTTTATTATTCTCTGCTAAGACAATAGAGTTTGAAATATAGGGGGGAAAGCTTGATGTACTTTCAATACTGTGAACTCTAATAATGTGGAAAATATTTTTCAACTTTAATTTTCTGAAGTATAAATTATTTATGTAAATTTCTTATTTCTTGTTTCATAGGACATGCATCTTTAAGCTTTATCATTGCCAATATGTACAGAAAGAGAATAAAAATATAAGTTTATGAATGTAACCTCTTTTAAAGCTTGACTGATACTTTCTGTTTTTTTTTTTGTTTGTTTGTTTTTTTGAATCCGGTCGTGGGGCCTGAACTCTGGGCCTGGGCACTGTCCCTCAGCTCTTCAGCTCAAGGCTAGCGCTCCACCACTTGAGCCACAGCACCACTTCCGGCTTTTTTCCTTTTGCTTATGTGGTGCTGAAGAATTGAACCCAGGGCCTCAGGCATGCAAGGCAAGTGTTCTACCACTGAGCCAACTTCCCAGCCCTTGACTGATACTTTCTATAAGAAAAGTTCTGGGGGCTGAGAAGGTGGCTCAGTGGTAGAGCGCTTGCCTTGCATGCATGAGGCCCTGGGTTCGATTCCACTGCACCACATAAGCAGAAAAAAAAGCTGGAAGTAACACTGTGGCCCAAGTGGAGAGTTCCTTGAGCTGAAGAGCTGAGGGACAGTGCCCAGACCCAGAGTTCAGGCCCCACGACCGACAAAAAACAAAAACAAAAAGATGGAGAACTAAGGCTTGACTCTCCAGTATTACTCTGAGCCTTTGATGTTTGATGTGTGGACATTCTGGGACTTGATCATTGGAGCTAGAATGAGTGTTAGCCGTGGGAGCTATGCCTGTCCTCTTTGAGTCCTGCTCTCCTGGGGAGTAAACTCCAGTGTAACTTCTAAGGAAAGGGTAATAGACATGGGGGAGGACTGCCCCGCAAATTGTTCCACCCTCCAGCTCACAGGCTCCATCTTTCCTGTGTCCCTCTCCTGGCAGAGCCACGTCCATACCTGCCTAAGCTTCCTTGGCTTTTCAAATTTGAAATATGAAATTCATTTTGATTGTTAATAGAAGTACACTTTCTATGTTAATTTTCCAGATATATGAGTAAAACTGGAAAAGATCTGTCCTATGAAGGAGTCACCTGAGCTACAGGAGCCCTGATTTCTGAAGAGAAAGCTCTTCTTTCTCCAGGCAGCTGGAGGAACCAGAAGGATTGTATAGTGCATTGGGGGCTCTACCATAGCTCTCATTTCTGTTTAACCAAATACTGGGAAAAGAAGGGCTGGAAAATACAATTAAGTTCGATTTCTTTTACATCCATCATTCTAGAAATTGATCCATGGACTGATTGGTCAAAACAGAGACAAAATAATTAAGAAATATTAATTTAAGGTATAGAAGAAACCAAAACAAACAGACATTTCGGTGACCTTCAGAAAAGGTTGGTGAGTGAGGCACAGCCTTGCTAAGAAATGCAAACTCTCAGCCATCTCTCGGGTGTTGGGAAATACGTTTTGTTGTGTCTGGAGGTAAGTGGGGACTGACATCAGAATGAGTAACCTCTGACTAACCAGTGTTCCAAGCCTGATGATGATTGGACAGGTTTTAAACTAGCTCTGAGGTTACTGTGACCATAGCTGCAGGACAGCGCTCTCGGGGCGTGGATACTTTAATTCCCGCTAGGATGAATGTTGTGCTGTGTCTCCATCTCTGGACAAAGTGATGGTTCTTGGTCAGATTTAGAATACAAGAGCCTGCAGGAGCTGAGTCAGACAACTTTAATGGCTACAGAAGATACATTATGTCAACAACACAACACACCCACCTCTCTCCCCACACTGAAGTACAAGCCTCATTTTCAGAGAGTGTAGCTGGTAGCGGGAAGGGGATACCCTAAGATGACTTAGATCCTACATCCATTGGGAAGGCAGCCCTCACACAACTTGTGAAAACCTGGGATCCCCACCAAACCCCTCAAGCTCCTAGGGGTGGGGGTGGTATGGCAGAGGAGTAGATAACCCCACCTTCATAGGAGGTGCCCTGGAGGCAGGGCCTTGATTGGCCTTGGAACAGAAGGACACCGGCACTTTTAAGCTAGGAACTGGGCTGCTAGGTTGGCCTCACACCAGTCATTGAGACCCTCTGAGCATCAAATATTGGAAGATAACAATGCTACCTTGCTGTTAAAATATTTCAATGAACACAAAGTTCCTAGTTCATGACCAGAACTCAATAAACAGTAAGTGCTATTATTTGGATATTTCTTACAAGGTCTTTCCACTTATGGAAAGAAAAACGAGGTTCTCAGTCTTTGGACACACACCCTGCCCTGTGAAGGCAAGGAAGCTCTATTACAAACGTCCCGACCTGACCATCTTGTGCACAGAGTCCAGGTACTTCCCCAGGACATCTGCAGTCATCACTCTTCTTTGCACAGGCAGTGCCTCCTGTTCGTGTTGGTCATCTCCCACTGCCCAGGAGCGAGGTCTCTCCTGTCGGTCCATTGAAACCTATTGGCAGAAAAGGGTGGCATGGGTGGCATGCTGCGGGGTGAGGAGGCTCACAGGGAGGGAGGACCCTTCTGGCCCTTAACCCACACTCAGCCTACTTATCCAAACTGCCACGCCCTTTCCTTCTTGCCTCACTCTCCCACTCTGCCTGTATCTGAAGCTCTCACAGGAGGTTTTCAGAGGACTCTGGATCTTGGACTCCATCTACCTTTGTGTAGTATGGCAGAGATGACTAGCTGTCTACAGAGTGCTTCCCTCCACCATGTATAAATCAGCCAGCTTCTTTCCCCAGCAACTTTGGACCCAGCCTTGGACCAGAACCTAGCCACAGACCAGAGGAGGAAACCCAGGCTCCCTCCAGTCCCAGCCACATATACCATGGCCCTGTTCAGTCCAGACTATTTCTCTTTTCCAGTTGCAGGAATGAGCTCATTGGAATCCAGGTGAAAAGATGAAAAAAAGCTCATGAGAGAGTTCTGAACGGGGACAGTTTGCTGTTCATCTGACCAACCTAATACTGGTGCTTCAACAAAAAATAAACTTGTACTGTGTTAAAAGCTCTGTATACTTTTTCAGCCTGATGGTGACAGCAGGGACCCTGCTCTGCCTTAGCTGTAGTTTCCTTCTGTCACATTAAGATCTAAAACAAGGCTGGGAATATGGCTCAGTGGTAGAGTGCTTGCCTAGCATGCATGAAGTCCTGGGTTCAATTCCTCAGTACCACATAAACAGAAAACACCAGAAGTGGCACTGTGGCTCAAGTGGTAGATTGCTAGCCTTGAGCATAGAGAGACTCAGGGACAGTGACTAGGCCCAGAACTGACCAAAAAAAAAAAATCTAAAACAAGTGCTTCTGCACAGCAAAGAAAACAAAAGTTGGGCATGATGGCACACACCTATAATTCCAGCACTTAGGAGCTGAGGCTGGAGACTCTCGAGTTCCAGACTAGCCTAGACCAGCCTAGACCACATAGTGGGACCCTATCTAAAAAAAAAAAAAAAAAAGCTGGCCAGGTGCTGGTGGCTCATGCGTGTAACCCTAGCTACTCAGGAGTCTGAGATCTGAGGATCAAAGCTCAAAGCCAGCCCAGGCAGAAAAGTCCATGAGACTCTTATCTCCAATAAACCACTCAGGAAACCAGAAGTGGCGCTTTTGGCTCAAGGGGTAGAGTGCTAGCCTTGAGCTGAAGAGCTGAGGGACAGTGCCCAGGCCCAGAGTTCAAGCCTCACAACCGACCAAAAAAATATATATATATACTCAGAACTGCTGAGGATAGTACATAAGCCTACCATGTAGTAATTCCTTTCAGAGAGACTTAGGAAAATAACAGGATTGAGTCAGAGTTGCATCACTAAATATTTGAGCAAGTTTTTAGCTGGAAAGAAGAAAAGGCCAGGTTCCACAAGGCATGGTAGAAAAGAAGGGCCATGAAGTTGGAAAGAGGAGAAATGCACAGATGCTGTATGTTCACAACAGGCCATGGACTCATTACCTAGCTGCACCTAAGCCTTCCCTTGGGTCCTGAGCTTCAGGTTTCAGGAGTCCCAGAAGGAGGGAAATAGACCAGGAGCTATCAGATGTGACCGCCCAATTGTGAACTCTGGATTTGAAATCTATGCTGGGGGAAAAAAAAGAAAAAAAAAAAGAGCCAGATTACAGGTGGTTCACACCTGTAATCCTAGCTTCACAGGAGGCTGAGTTCTGAGGATTGAGGTTCAAAGCTAGCCCAGGCAGGAAAGGCCATGAGACTCTTATCTCCAGTTAACCACAGAAAACTGGAAGTGGTGCTGTGGCTCAAAGTAGTAGAGCACTAGCTTTGAGCAAAAGAGCTTAGGGACAGTGCCTAGGCCCTGAGTTCAAGCCCCACAACTGACAAAAAGAAAAGAAAAGAAATCTGTGCTGGGGGAATTCTTGCCCTCTTTTTTTGTATTTCGTTTTTTAAAAATCCCACTTCACAAGGCCTTTTGTGGTTTGCCTGTATAATCCTAGCTACTCAGAGAGGGTAAGATCTGAGGATCATGGTTAGAAGCCAGTCTGAACAGAAAAGTCTGTGAGACTATCTCCAGTTAACTAGCAAATATGTCAGACTGGAGTTGTGGCTAGAGGTGTAGAACACTAGCCAGTGAATGAAAAAGCCAAATGAAAGTGAAAGGCCCAGACCAAAACAATTGGAGATGTGGCTCACATGGTTAAATACCTGCTTTGCAAGTATGAAGCCCTGATTTCAAACCCCAGTTCTGAAGAGATAGAGACAGAGTAAGACAGAGAGACATAGTGAAGAGGAAAGGGAGAGAGGAAGAGAGGGAGGGAATACAGAAGGGAGAAACAAAGGAAGGAGAGAAAGGAAGAAAGAGAAGAAAAGTTGCAACAAAAATTTTGGTCAGATTTGAATGTAATAAGTGGTAAATGGTATTGCTGCACTATTCACAATAGCCAAGTTATGAAAAAAGCACAGAATGCTTTACAGTGGATGAGTGGATCAAGAAAATGTGGTATATACACAATGGAATTTTGTTTATCCATTAGAAAAAAATAATATTGTGCCAATTGCAGGAAAATGGATGGACCTAGAACAAATCATGTTAAGTGAAATAAGCCAGGTTTTGGAAGTGGTACTGTGGCTCAAGCAGTAGAGCACTTGCCTTGAGCTGAAGAGCACAAGGACAGCGCCCAAGCCCAGAGTTCAAGCCCCACGACGGACAGCACATGGTTTCTCTCATATGTGGAAGCTAGATCTAAAATGCAAATGTGCATGATAACATATACAGGACTCAATGCATTTTACACACAAACTAACTAAAGGAGGGTATACTTAGGGGAAGAATCCAAACACATAACTCCTCTGAATCCCTAAATTACTGTTTATTAAAATGAACACCAGGAAGTGTGATGATGTTTTGGGAAGTGGACAAAGAGGGGATCACAGGAATGGAAGGAGGAAAGGTAAGCAAGTGTGGTCATTACAGTCAGTGTACATTATGTAAAACAGTGAACCATGTAAGGAGGGTGGGGATGGGAGGAGGACAATAGGGAAGAATGAAGGAGAGTGAGGCGTGGTACCCATAACCTGACTTATGGAATTGTGACCCCTTTGTATAACTAAATAATAAATGTGGGGGCTGGGAAGGTGGCTCAGTGGTAGAGCGCTTGCCTTGCATGCATGAGGCCCTGGGTTCGATTCCTCAGCACCACATAAGCAAAAAAGAAAAAAGCTGGAAGTGGCACTGTGGCTCCAGTGGTAGAGCGCTCGCCTTGAGCTGAAGAGCTGAGGACAGCGCTCAAGCCCAGAGTTCAGGCCCCACGACTGACAAAAAATAAAAACAAAAATGTGGTAAGTGATAGAAAAATGGCACCAGGTTAAAGGCTCAGGAAAAAGAGCTCAAGGGATCTTAGAGGGCAGATCTTCTCTGTCTGGTCTCTGCTTTCACCAAGTAAGGGCGGGTCAGCACCTGAAAGCAAGGTGGGAGGTCTCCTATGTGCTACATTTCTGTATCTTTTCCCACAGAGGCCTCCCTGCCCTAAGAGCATCCATGAGTGCAGCAGTAGCTGGCCCTCCGCCACCTCCTTTGCTCTCCTATGTCCAGCCACTGCCTCCTCTGCCCAGTGAGCCCCTCTGTGAGCCGAGCAGGGGGAGGTGCGGAGAGGAGGGGGCTTTGTCAGAGCCACTACTTTGGCATTAATACTTGCTGTCCACCGGGTGTGGCAAAATTGCGCCTCCCCAGCTCTCAGCTCACCAGACCCTTCTTTTTAGCCTGTTTGTACTGCCTGCGGTTTGAGGAACAGAGCTGTTTTTCAAAAGCAGTCTGGCTTAAGTTAGGTATATTGTTGTCACCAGATAGAGGAGTTTCTGCGAAGATGAGGTTTTCAGCACTGTGAAATAAACAAAATTATCTCAGGTCAACACAAAAATCAGAAAATTATCTTAATAAACTCAACACTTTATAACAAGGAAATGGCTAATTAGGTATCACTGGTGACCCTTGGAAAAATGTCTCCTAAAAGTTCTTGAGTGAAAGCTTGGTCCCTAGAAGGGAAGGGATGAGTCCTAGAGTGAGTGCTCCGCAGGTCACAGCGTGCCCTTGAAGGGACTCTCCAGACCCTTACCTCTTTATTTCTCTCAGTGTTTTTAAGTTAAAGAAAGGATTAAGGCAAAATAAAGATATTTTAAAGCAAATAAAACTGAGAGATTCTCCATGAACAGGCACACATGGAAATTAAAAACAGTTTGTTTAATGTTTGTTACAAGCTGACACATTTATGAATGATATAAATAGGCCTACAAGTTGTTCTAGAAGAGAACAAAAAAGGGAGAATGAGGGGTTGAAGGATTAGAAGACAAATACGATAAAATGTTGATGGCTGTTAGATGCCAATTCTTTCAACATTGACTACATATTCAGTATAATCCCAGTAAATCTCCATGTACTTGGGAATTTTTGTGTGCAGATATAGATATAGATATAGATATGTGTATATATGGAACTTGAACTAATTCTATAGCTTAAAAAGGATTTGTTCTATCTGGTATCAAAGCTGATTTTAAAAGTAAATATAACAGACCATAATAGAGAATCCAGAAATTAAATAAGTGTGCTTATACTTCTGTTGTACCAAATTAAGACAATAGTGCAGAAAAAGATGGATTTTTTAGTCTATAATATGAAGAAATGAATATCATGAAGAAAAAATTACATTGGACTCTATAAACAATAGACATATAGAAACAATTCCAGTTAGATTAAATGTGAAAACAAAACTGTAAAGGGTTTTTTTTTTTTTGTTTTTTTTTGTCAGTCGTGGTGCTTGAACTCTGGGCTTGGGGCTGTCCCTCAGCTCTTCACCTCAAGGCGAGCACTCTACCTCTTGAGCTACAGCGCCCCTTCCAGTTTTCTAGTGTTTTATTGGAGATAAGAGTCTCATGGACTTTCCTGCCCTGGCTGGCTTAGAACAGTGATCCTCAGATCTCAGCCTCCTGAATAGCTAGGATTACAGGCATGAGCCACCGGTACCCGGTTTAAAATTGTAAAGTTTTTAAGAGGAGGTGATTTCAAATAATGTATGAAAAGTACTAATTATAACAAGGAAAAAAGGTAAGCTTCATAATATCAAGATTTAAAGCATCTTCATTTGGTAGGCATAATGATGCGTGCCTAAAGCCTCATCAGTCGACTGAGACAAGAACGTAATCTAATCCCAAAAGTTCAAAATCAGCCTGGATAGTAAACAATACAACAAGACCTCACCTCAAATAGCAAATAAGTTCTTAAAAGGCATCATTAGGAAGAGTTAAAATACAAATCCACAAAATATGAAAAGATACAAGAAGCAGAACTGAAAAGAGGTCTATATCCAAAATATTAAAAAAAAAAAAAGCTTTACAAATCAGTGAGCAAGACAGACAACCAACAGATAAAAATGGCAAAAGTCTTAAACAGGTACTGTTCAAGTGAGAAAACTCTATAGGCAATAAAGATATGAAAAGCACTCAGAGGTTGGAGGCGTGGTTCAAATAGTAAGGCTTGACCTAGCAAACACAAGACACTTAGTTCAAACTCCAGTACCATCAAAAAAGGAGTTAGGCACCAGTGCTCATTTCTTTAATCTTAGCTACTCAGGAGGCTGAGATCTGATGATCATGGTTCAAAGTCAGCCAGGGCAGGAAAAATTCATGAGTCCCTTATCTTCAATAAACTACTTTTTAAAAACAAAGCCAGAAGTAGGGCTGTGGTTGAAGTGAGAGAGCAATAGCTTTGAGCAAAAGAAGCTCAGGGACAATGTCCAGCCCTATGCTCAAGCCTCGGGACTAGCACGAAAAAAAAGAAAAGAAAAAAAAATAAGGAAAGGAAGAAAGGGAAGGAAGGAGGGATGGAGAAAAGAACTCACTATTGGTAATCAGGAAAATGACCTCAGCCATGAGCTTTACTCAAATTAGAAACTCCACCCATGTCAACAGTCAAAGAGAATGTGAAAAATATGAACAGTACTTCTCGTCCATTATGATGGGGACATAAGCTGAAATAGCTTAACAGTTTAACAGTATCTTATGACTCAGAAAAGCTCACTCTTAGATATACACCCTAAGAAATATGGATTGAGGGAGTCAAAATACTTGCATTGGACTGTTTATAATAACCCAAATAAGACAATAATTCAAACATCCACCAATAGTGGGGGCTCACATCTGTAATCCTAGCTGCTCAGGAGGCTGAGGTCTGAGGATCACAGTTCGAAAACAGCCTGGGCAGAAAAGTCTGTGAGACTGTTATCACCAATTAACCAAGAAAATGCTGAAAGTGAGGTATGGCTCAACGTGGTAGAGTGCCAGTGAAAAAAACCAGCAAGTGTATGAAGCCCTGAATTCAAGCCGCAGTACAGATGGATTTCACAATATGTAAATGTCTTGTCCAAAAATCAGTCACAAAAGAGAAAATGCTTTAATATTTCATTTATATGAAACTCAAAACTAGCTGAGATTTACCTGACTTTTGAAACTGTAAAAAGAAAAACAACTAGGTGAGATTAATAATATTGTTTAAGGATTTAAAAACAACAACAAGGAAATGGAGGGAAAGTAAGCAGGTAAAGACAGCTTTGAAGAGGAAGAGGTGATGAGTGGTCCTATCACAGGACTGGCTTGAAGTTTGTTAAGGTGTTCATACTACTCTCTACATTTATTTCCCAATTCTCTAAACCACTAAAAGAAAAGGTGTGACTAGTTGCAAGCTCTGCCTTAGGAAAACACTAACCCACAAGTTCAGCAAGCATTGGCATATCAGTTTAGTTACTATGTACCTGTACATTCCACCATTTTTATTCTTCATGGGTCTTTCAGAAGCTTCTTCCCATGCTACCGGGACCACACCGCGTGGAGTGAAAACGTACTGGGACAATTTGGCTTTCTCCGGGTCTTTAAGTTGTTTTTTGGTGCAGTGTCTTTTTTCTATCAGAAAATGAAAAATGTAAATCAGCACTTTTAAAGACCAGTTGCTCTTGGGGAAAAATCATTTGACACTTAACAGTCTCTAAAAATGAAGCCGGGGGGGGGGGGGGTGGGGGGGGGTGGGGGGGGGTGTTGGGAAGGTGGCTCAGTGGTAGAGCACTTGCCTTGCATGCTCGAGGCCCTGGGTTCGATTCCTCAGCACCACATAAGCAAAAAGAAAAAAGCCGGAAGTGGCACTGTGGCTCAAGTGGTAGAGCGCTAGCCTTGAGCTGAAGAGCTGAGGGACAGCGCCCAGGCCTAGAGTTCAGGCCCCACGACCGGACTCCCCCTCAAAAAAATGAAGCCTGGGGATCACAAAGCACCTGTCCTATCTTGGGCATGAAGTCTCTTCTTGTCATCCAACTCTTGCCACCTTTGAACCTGAGCATCATCCAATGCAGGGGTTGTACTCTGCAAGAAAAGTGAGACTTTTTCAGGCTGCCAGTGCAGTTTCTATTAAACTATTTAAATCTGCCAGGCACTAGTGACTCATGCCTGTAATCCTAGCTTCTCAGGAGGCTGAGATCTGAGGATCAAAATTTGGAGGCATCCTGGACAGAAAAGTCCACCAGTCTCTTATCTCCAATTAACCAGAAAAAAAAAAAAAAAAAAAAGCCAAGAGTGGAGGTATGGCTCAAAAGCCAGCCTTGAGCAAAAAAGTGCAAGACCTAAGTTCAAGTCCAAGTACTGGCATACTAAATAAATAAACAAATAGTTTAAATCTGTCCTAAACATTCAAATGTGGCCTTACCATGCACCAAAGCTCACAGAGGACCAAGACTGGGGAATCCTGTCCGCACACAGAGCAGTGGGAAAGCAGCAGCACCTGGCTCGATGTACATACTTCACTGAGTGGAAAGAGCTGAGCAGAGCAGGGCAAAGGAGACCCGCCCATATAGAAAAGACAAGGCTCTGTTTAGAGTGTTACAGAATCATTCTATGAGTCAGTATTTGTTGGGCCACTAAGTGCTACATTAAGGCCTCAGCCTGTCACCAAAATTCCTCATTCTAGAACAGACAAGTCACTCACAATGACAATTTAGCTGTGCATGGAGCCGGCTCAGGGTCTTTAGAAGCACAGGGCAATGCTCCTAGCCTAACCTGAGAGGAAGGAGGTATGTTGAGGCTGCTACTCATTGCTCTTTTAGGGCTGTGGGACAGGCAGAGCCAAGAACATCAGTGAGTCTGGGTCAAGAAGTGGGACTATACAAAGGCCATTTTATTTACTTGTTTGATGCCCATACCAGGGTTTCAACTCAGGGCTTTGAGCCCTAACTTGGCTTTTTCACTCACAGCTAAAGCTCTTGAACCATGCTTTGCTTCTGGCCTTTTGCTGGTTAATAAGAGATAAGAGCCTCCCAGTTGTGTCTGCCCAACCTGGCTTTACACCATGATTCTCAGATATCAGCTTTCTGAGTAGCTAGGCTTACAGGTGTGAGACAGTATACCTAGGGAAAGGCTATTTTTAAGTGGTGTTTTCTTTGTTTTTCGCTCTCCTTCTGGTTAAAAGCCTTCCACACAGGGACTATCTCCTGCTCCTTCACTTTTCCACAGCGCTTAAAGATTGTATACTTAGATTTCAAAAGCATAGGGATACCATCTTGAGCTCTGCCTCTTAGGGTGTTTAGGAATTAGTATTTAATAATACCTATTCAGAAATTTTGCTCAAAAATACACTTAAATGTTCTAATATTCCAGCCAAACTACTCTAGAAAATAAGTGGGAGAGTCAGGGTAGGGTTCCAAAATACAAAGAAAGCAAAAATCTTGAGTCTGTAGTATACATCTTTGATTTGGTACTACAATAACATGCTTATATTGGATAAGACATTCCTGACATCAAAGGTTTTCAAAATAAGACTGCAAAATATTTTTTGATGAAGCCAAACTGAAGGACAAAACTGTTGGTCCCTGCTGAGCACCAGTGGCTCACACCTAAAATTCAAGCTACTCAGGAGACTGAGATCTGAGGATTGTAGTTCAAAGCCAGCCTGGGCAGGAAAGTCTGTGAAACTCTTATCACCAATTAACCACCAAAAATCTGGAAGTAGAGCTATGGCTCAAGTAGTAGTGTATTAGCCTTCAGCACAAAAGCTCAGACCTTGAGTTCAAGCCCTGGTACTGGCATACACACACACACATACACACACACACACACACACACACACACACAGAGGCGCACACACACACACACACACACACACAAGTTGATCCTTGTTCCTATAGATTTGCTGATGTGACAACCATATCTCCCATTCCCCCTTGACTAATTCCTACCACAGAAATTAGTCACACAGCCTCTTTTCCTGATCCTGCTCAGAGTCGGGACTTGCCATATGACCTCATCCTGGCCAATGAGCTCTATGTGAAAGTCCCCTGAGGATGCTTTTTGCTTCCTCATCAGAGGAATAGGGAAAGAAGAGAGCCTTAGCACTATTCCCTACCCCCACTTCCTTCTGCCTTGAATGCAGACCTAACACCTAGAGCTGTAAACACCTCAGGTAAGTGTGAAAATGACAAGTAGACTGAAAATACTAGAGATAGTGAGAGAGAAAAGAAAAAAAAACTGGTATACTTTATTGAAAAATACAACTCAGTACCGTTTTGTTGCCGTGCTCTAAGAAATATCCATATTTCTCTTGTTTTATTTTCTTTGATTTTTTGCATGAAAGTACTTTTTTCATTACTTTCTGCTGAAGAGGCTCTGCAACTTGTTTGACCCATTTTTTATGTAATAACTCCTTTTTTCTTTCCTTAAAAATATCCACATGCTGAAAATACATATCCAATTTCTAATGAAGTGATAGGAAAAGAAAAAATGATTAAGAAAACGTTCTACTTATTGTCATTTGCATAACAATGGGTAAACACTTGTTCCCACTTCTAAGTTCTCAGCCAAATTCAAGCTGTGACATCCTAGTACAAGATACTGGAGAACAGAACACACTTTAGGAAGAAAACCTGAAAGCACAGAACAAGAAGTCATGAAAAGTTTACATATACTGTGCCTCCTATTAAACTCAGAAGGCAGGTTAAGCCTTTCTTAACTCACCGAACTATTGCTTCTTCCAAAGCATTCCCTGGTCATCTAACCCTCATCAGCAAAGTTGGTGACTTGATTTGATACCTCTCTCTAACTTATAAAAGGAGGCTAATCTCACCTAGCACTTCGAAGTTCAAATGAGAAATATATGTACACTTACTTTAGATATTGCAAATCATAATACAAATGTCAAAGAAGTCATATAACACCAAATTCTGATCACTCTCATTGAAATTAACTACTGATAAACATCTTAATTCTATAGCTCATATTAGTCACTAATTCATTTCTAGTGGTTACACATAGTCCCATTACAAGATAGGGACATAGAAGGAAGGGACAAATTTTAGTAGGAAAGAATTTTCTATTTAGTACCAAGACAGAGGGTGAGCAGTTAAAACAACGCAGATCCCTAAGGACAGATTCAAACAAGACTTTGGTGTAGCATGAACAACTAAGAGGAGCGTCATGATCCTATAAAATCAGCCTCTGTAACATAGTGTTTGATTTGGCTATCCAGTGTCTCCTCAGTGCTTATATATTGAAGCTTTGTGTCCCTAGCTAATGGAGCTATTGGGAGGTGGTGGAAATTTTAGGAAGAAAGACTGGAAGCAAGCTTAGTTGTTGAGAGCCTGCCTGCCCTTTAAGAGATGTCGGGAGCCAGGCCTTTCCTCCCCTTCCTGGCTGCCATGAGGTGAGTAGCTTTGCTCCGCCACACATTTCCTGCTCTACTATTCTTCCTCACTACAGGCCCAAAGCAATCAGACCAGTGACCATGGACTGAAACCCCTAACGCTGTGAGCCAAAAACAAACCTTCCTCCTCTGAAGCTGTTTATCTTGCATGCCTGTCATAGCCACACAAAGCTGACTAGCACACCTGGCAACATCGAGTCTCTACATGCTGTTCTACATACTTCCTGCTCCCCCAGGACACAAGTACAACACACAGCTCTTACCTTCACAACATAATTTTCTCTAAATAATATTGCATGCACAGCTCCATCAATGTCTTCTCTAGCTAATACCTATTATAGAAATGAGTGTTAGAAACAAACCAAAATGACAAGTCCCAGTGTAATATATCAATAGCATTAGTGAAAATCTAAAGTCTGTATGTCCAAGTATAGGTTATGACTTTTGTTTTGTGCCAGTACTGAGGCTTGAAATCAAGGCTTCATGCTCTTGCTTTAACTTTTTCACTCAAGGCTGTAGTCCTACCACTTGAGCCACATCTCCACTTCTGTATTTTTACTAGAGATTTGTCTATTGGGGCTAGTTTCAAGGCTGGTTTCTCAGATCTCAGCCTCCTGAGTAGCTAGAATTACAGAAACTTGAGCCCAGTAAGTTTGTGACTTTTATAGAAAAGTTCAAACATCATTCTCCAGGAACCAATCACCCAGCAACAACTAGCAACTCCTCCTCATCTCATCTAATTCCCGACTCACTTTCTGTCCTCCACTCAGAATAATTTGAAACAAATCCTTGACATCATATCATTAAACCATATTTTTTTAATTACCAAGAAGTTTACAATTAATGGGATCCCACATGAATTAAATATTTGGTAGGCATATTTTAAAGGGTCCTTGAAGCTTTCTGCTTTCTGTCAGTCTCTTCCTAAATCAAAACCACAGAAAGTCCAATTTAACACAAACTGGTCCATCTCTGACCTAGTTAGTTGTATTTCATAGCCTCTTAGAGATATTGTCTCATACCTAAGGGCCTTCCATTGTGAATCTGAGGGAAAATGATTCACTAACTCCTCCCTGTAGCACTTCTTTAGTTGGATTGCTATAAACTGAGTTCTAGATGTTATTCTTAAATGACTAAAGAAGAAGGAATGAAAAGTTAATTAAAAGCAGCATTTGGCAGCATATGTCTATAATCTCAGCTATTCAGAAAACAGGGGTAAAAGATCCCTGGATTGAGGCCAAACTGGGCAAAGTTAATGGCAGACCCTATCTCTAAAACAAACTAAAAGCAAAATATTAGAGACTGGTTTATGTGGAAATCACAAACTTCTAAGTTCAATCCCTAATACTACCCTCTCCCTGCCAAAACAAAAACAGTATCTGGGAGGAATATGCTATTCCTAAAACAATTATCTCTAGTGAAAAACTCAGACAGATTCTTAGAATTTTATTATTTACTCTGTGACTTTTTTTCTGTTCTGCCACATTGAATGTATCAAAACCAACTAAACCCCAAATTCAAATACCAGATCTGTTAGCAAATCAAAACTGAGTTGTATTTTTACCCATAATTTAATAGTCTCACATAAAATCTAAAATGATATTCGAATAGCTTCTTGGGTCTTCTACAAAGTAAACTTCTTTAAAATGTAAACTTAATTTTATGCTTATTTTAAGATGACAACTGCAAAAGTAACCACTAAACATGTTTCCTTGATAGTACAGTATAAATGTAGAACCAATCACTATTTATTTGGAGGAGTAAAAATGTACATGTTGACAATTATCTTGGATGGCCACTTTTTTTCAGTTATTCTAGCGAGATTATGAGTACATTTTATATAAATAGATATATATGTAGTATTGGCCATGTTTCAAGTTTTCTAACAAGCTTTTGTTGTTTTATATACATATATATGATATGTTAATGATTTGTAGCAGCACTTCTGAAATGTACAGCTTTCTGTGCATATATATATATATATATATATAATCTATCCTTAGTCCCAACCACAGCCAAAGAAATAAAATAATCCCTGTGCAGTAATGTGGAGGCCAACCTGAGTTATATAGTGAGACCCTGTCTCAGAAATAAAAGGCGGGGGAGGGGGAATTTCCATGAACTTCAAAACAACAAAAATTTTTATTTTATTTTTGTGCTGGTCCTGTGGTGTGAACTCAGGGCCTGGGTGCTGTCCCTGAGACTTTGTGCTCAAGTCTAGTGTTCTACACTTGAGCCACAGACCCACTTTTGGGTCTTTTGGAAGTTAATTGGAGAGAGGATAGTCTCACAGACTATCTTCCCTGGGCTGGCTTTGAAGCATGATCCTCTCATCTCAGCCTCTTGGGTAGCTAGGACTACAAGCATGAGCCACCAGCCCCAGGCAATAAAACTTTCCTATGAGCAAATCAATACCAGCCCCTGTCTGCAAGTCTTAGCCTGACTCCTGCAAGGCGACCTCCTGCATTACAGGTTGTCCTGTCCCGTTCATGCCCAGTCCCTCAGGTTAGCAACACATACCACCCGCCAAATTTCATGGGGACCATTCTCACCCAACGAATTCTCTTGTGTGTTTCAGTTCTGGGAATACACGCATGATGGTGCCTAATTAGATCCCACAGCAGAATGGCGTCTCCCAAAGTCCCCATCGTTACCTCCACTGAAGAAACCCACTGAGGCTCTGGCCAGTCCTTCAGTTCTTCTGGACTGAAATGTCCGATACAGTTGGAAGCTCTCGTGGCAGCCATAGATGGAAGCCCTGAGGAGGAAGAGATAGAATGAGGGGACGCAGTGGGCTGCGGACCAGCCGGGCCCGGGGCTCGCAGCGCGGCTTGGGTCCTCGCTCGCTCCTTGCTGGGCTCGGTGAGTCAATTACAGAAGTTCCCCAAAGGGACCAACCAGCATCCTGCGTTGTCAAAGCAGGTCGTCCCCGCGGGGGCCCACCAGCCGCAGGGTGTCACCCCAGTGGGGCCCCTGCCACCTGCCCCCTCGCTGCCACCCCGGAGTTAAGGGCTGGGTGGTCAGCAGTGAGCCCAGCAGAGGAGGTGGCGAAAATTCCACCAAAGGGAAACCCTGACTGGTGGAGACATACCTAATCCAAGCCAAGGATAAAAAGCGGTTGGAGCCCAGCCCTCTTCTCTGCCCCTCCCCACGCCACCACGCCCCCCTCAGTGGGGAGGCCAGGTCCGGGGTACCCCACTGCCATGCAGGCTTCTCTGTTTACTTGTCTATTTGAATACACGCTTTACCGTGTATTGGAAGACTGGGGGCGGCGGCTGGAAGCAACGTGTTTTAGTGCAATCGCCACTTTCCCTTTGCCTCCTCTTCTCGTGGGGGCCTCATCCCACAGACGGACGGCGTTTGCATTCTGATTGAAAGGAACTGATGGAAAACTTTTTAAAAATTCTGGACAATAAGGAAAATCTAAAAGACTGCCCGAGTGCAATGTCAAGGAATTACTACTATTATACGGTTTAGTAACAGTTTGTGTTAGTTTTACAAAGGAGGCATATTCTGAAATAGTCTTGGATAAAATCATTTATCTGAAAAAGTTTGTTCAGAGCAGGTGGAAGGTGAGGACTGGGAAGGATGACGGATTAAACAAGATTGTCATCTGAGACAGAAAGCAAGTCTGGGACACAGGAGCCAAGATTCAGAGATAAATATTGCATCAGTGAGAACAGCTTGATTTAAAAACACGCTGGCACTACTTTCCCTGCTTTAATCTTTACAGTCCTCACTGAGATGTAACATATAGTAAAAGTGAAGTCACTCCCGCCAATCATAAATTTTTATTGCCCAAATGGTGACTGTGCTCTAGAAAAACTAAAGAAAAACACCCATCCTGGCCACAAGATGGTAAAGCAAATCCTCTGATTACAAAGGATTTGCTAAGGAAAAAAAAGTTATAGCAAGGTAGGATTCTTATCTTGAAAGGAGCATCTGGAGAAAAATATTGTTTGTTAAAGAGATGCTCAAAGAGAACAAAAAACATCTACCACTAACACAAGGACCCAAACTTAGCAACTGACCCGATTTAGTATCTCTGGGCTCAGCTGATAATGTCAAGCCAGTGTAACAGCAAGAATAATGAATGCATACCAAGTGTCCAGAACAAAGAACATTTACCCTAAAATATATTCTTTTAAGGCAGACACTGGTAACTCATGCTTGTAATCCTAGCTACTCAGGAAGTTGAGATATAAGTATTGCAGTTCAAAGCCAGTCTGGGCAGGAGAGTACATGAAACTTTTATCTCCAATTAAAACACCAAAAAGCTAGAAATGCATCTGTGATTCAAGTGGTAGAATGCTAGCCTTGAACAAAAAGGCTTAAGGACAGAACCCTGGCCCTGAATTCAAGCCCCAGAACTGGGGCTTGAATATACATTTTAATTTTAAAATATACATTTTAAATTTCCTAAAGAATCTTGATAGCAGAGTATTGCAGTGCATGATTGTAAATCCAGAAGATTGAGGTAAAACTATCAAAAGTTTGAGGCTATGCTGGGTGCTGGTGGCTTCATGCCTGTAATCCTAGCTCTTCAGGAGTCTGAGATCTGAGGATGACAGTTCAAAGCCAGCAAGGGCAGGAAAAGTCCATGAGACTCTTATCTCCAATTATCCACCAGAAAAGCAGAAGTGATACTGTGGTTCAAGTAGTAGAGTGTAGCCTTGAGCTGAAGAGCTGAGGGACAGCACCCAGGCCCAGAATTCAAGCCCCACAACAACAAAAAAAAAAGTTTGAGGCTAGCCTTGATTAAGAGAAGGTGGGAAAAGTTGGGAAGGATGAGAGAATGAGAAGGACAAGAAGGAAACAGAGAAGAATCATCTTGACAAAAACCTGAGGAGAATATATGAATGTGGATTTTTAAGTGTGACTTAAAAAAAGAAGCATATTTTAAACTTCAGGACAAAGTGAATTGAGTCAAACATTCCAAAAAGATTGCTATTATTTTTTATTGAGGTTTTTAGCAATACTTTTTTTAATTTGGGGGAAAAATATACTTACAACAACTGTCAATTCATGATATTGTCATTTCTTAATTGCTACAGGCACTGAATTTAAAAATTAAATGAAGTTTATTGCAGATAAGGACAGAACAATTCTTGAATCCTTCTCTGGGTCCTGGCAGGTAACTTTGTCACGAAGTAACCGTCACTGAACCCCCTTCACAGGTCAAGAATCAGGATTAATGTTCCTTGGTTGCTACTGCTGTTTCAAGGGAACAAAGAAGAAAAGTTGCGTGTGAGATAAAAATGAACAACTTGCAAAAACAGACTTAGTTCCCCAGCTAAGCGAGCTGATCCTTCTGAATTCTGGTCCTACTACACCCCAGTGACCCTCCTCACAGGGTCATCCCTGAATCTCCTACCCCAACCTTTCCTCCTCTGGATTCAGAAGCACTCGGCGATCTGAGGGACTACCTATGGCACTGTTTTCATATATATGCCCAAATACTGTTATGCCAAGCTTGACAGGATTTAGGAAATTTTGATTCTTTCTCCTTTCCAATCTCTTAAGTTTCTATCTTCCACCTCAGTTTCATCTAATGACTTTCTCACTTTGCTGAGACAATGAATGATCTTCCTTCAGAAAATTCACACAACTAGCTTCCTATATGCATATACTCGGCCTTCCCTCCTACGAGGGGCGGGTTGTTCTGCCTTCCCTTAGAGCCATGGACCCCACCTTTTCATCTACTGAAGGGCTCTGCACTTGTCCCCCTCTCTTCCAGGCCATCACATTTCTCTCTGCTCATGCATTCCATGAGGAAACATCCTAGCTGTAGCTAGCATCTGATACAAATGTTCCACTGTCCCTACTGTCTCCAGCCACAATTCCATCTCTCCACTCCTTTATAGCAAAATGCCACAAAAAGGTTGTTTATTTCCCCTGTCCCCACACTGTCATCCTGCAACCCATCCTCTTTTGAATCCCATCCTCTTTTGAATCCACCCTACTCAGGCTTTCTTCCAATGGCTCCACAGTAACCTCTCTGATAAAAATCACAAATTCTTCCTTCCTTCCTTCCTTTCTTTCTCTTTCTTTCTTTCTTCCTTTCTTTCCTTCTTTCTTTCTTTTGTCAGTCGTGGGGCTTGAACTCTGGGCTTGGGCGCTATCCCTCAGCTCTTCAGCTTGCGGCGAGCGCTCTACCACTTGAGCCACAGAGCAACTTCTGGTTTTCTAGTGGTTTATTGGAGAAGAGAGTCTCACAGACTTTCCTAAATATAGAGAATAATTCCCAGTCCCTATTTTACTTGCCCTCTCAGCAGCAATGTGAGATGGTTGATTGAATCCTCTTCTTTGAATCCTTCTTTCCTAGGTTTCTGTAATACTACACTCTTCTGCTTTCCTTCCTGCCTGACTAGCCACTCATTCCTTTCATATACCTTTGCTCAGTCTGCCTTCTCATGCCAACCTCTAAATCTTGGAGTTCCTCAGAAATGGTCCTCAGTTCTCTCCTCCCTTGACTCTACTCCCAGGTGATTTCATGATTTCAAACAGCATCTGAGAATTATTCATATACACTTGTGTACCCCATTTTCTCCGATCTTCTAGGCTGCATCTACCCCCCACTCCAACTTCACAGCTCCTCTGGGAAATTGAACAAAAAAGTGTAAATGAATGTTACTTAAATTAATGTCTTAACTCAGGTAACAGAAGCTATGTTCCAAAGGGAGGCTTGAAGACCACTGTTAAGGATTTTCAAAGAGGGAGTCAAAACAATTTTTTTTTTAAATCATTCATCAAACCGAGCACTGGTGGCTCACACCCATAACCCGAGATACTCAGGAGGCTGAGATATGAGGATCATGGTTTGAAGCCAGCCCCGTCATAAAGTTCAATAAACTAATTAGAAAAAGCCAGATGTGGTGCTGTGGCTCAAATGGTAGAGTGCTAGCCTTGAGCACAAAGAGACTCAAGGATAGCACCCAGGCCCAGAGTTCAAGCCCCAGGACTGGCAAAAAAAAAAAAGCAAAACAAAACAAAATACCTAATTTATCAAACAAAGCAATAAATAAAAATCACTAGAGGATTAGTTTAGTAAAAGAGGAAAAGGAAGGATGCAAACCACAAAAAATCAACAAAATGGCAGGAACAAGGCATATCTCTCCATAGTAATGTTAAACATCAATAAACTCCCCAATCAAAGAGAAGAAGCCTGGATCATAAAACAAGATCCAAGCATTTGCTGCCTCTAAGAAACTCAGCCTATGCCAGGTGCCCGTGTCTCATGCCTGTAATCTTAGCTACTCAGAAGGCTGAGATCTAAGGATCACAGTTCAAAGCCAGCTTTGGCAGGAAAGTCCGTGAGACTCTTTTTTTTTGTCTGTTGTGGGGCTTGAACTCTGGGCCTGGATGCTGTCCTTCAGCTCTTCAGCTCAAGGCTAGCACTCTACCACTTGGGCCACATCGCCCACTTCCTGCTTTTCTGTTTATGTGGTGCTGAACCCAGAGCCTCATGCTTGCGAGACAAACACTCTACCACTAAGCCATCTTCCCAGCCCCGTGAGACTCTTATCTCCAATAAACCACTCAGAAAACCAGAAGTGTCACAGTGGCTCAAGCGGTAGAGTGCTAGCCTTGAGCTGAAGGGCTAAGGAACGGTGTTTAGGCCCAGAGTTCAAGCCCTATGACTAACAAAAAAAAAAACAAAAAAAAAAAAACACAGCTTACTACCAAAGATAAACACAAATTCCAAGTGAAAGGATGGAAAAAGATCTTTCAAGCAAACGCATCTTTT